TTCCATTTAAAAAAATTAATGTGACCTTGACCTGACCTTCGCTACGCAACCCAAGGTCAAACTGATGTGATCAGTAAATACATCTTTTTAAACGCCACAACTTTTGTCTGAAACATTTTTTTGTAAAACTTATATTTTTCCTGATATTCGGGCGTCCCGGTACTTTCCGAACACCCTGTATATATGGTAAAGCACCTTTTGGGAATATAGTTACATGTACCTATATTTGCCAAATATTCCAGTTGTATTGACTATATAAAATAGTTAATTTCTCTTACCATTCAATATTTGCCACCTTATCATATTTTTTATTTCAAATAATTATAATTCTTGGTAAAAATTTTACACGGGTCAGTTATACTATACTTATATTGTAAATATTACAAATATTATGGTAACATTTATTATTAAAATTATATTCCTAACTATATTTTTACTATGCCATTATAGTTCCAAATATCATACATTTTTCTCTCAGTGTGGTGTTGTGCACTATGAATTCCTTCCGCCGGGCCAAACTGTTAACAAGGAATATTATTTGAGTGTTATGCATCGTTTGCGTGAAGCTATTCGCAAAAAGAGGCCGGAATTGTGGAAAGACAACTCTTGGTTTTTGCACCACGATAACGCGCCATCTCACACTGCATTGGTTCTTCGAGACCATTTCGCTAAAAATTCGACCCATATCGTTCCACAACCACCATATTCACCTGATTTAGCACCGTGTGACTTCTGGCTATTCCCTAAACTCAAAAGACCGCTCCGGGGACACCGTTTTGACTTGATTGAAGAGATACAAGCTGAATCGAAGAAAGCTTTGAAGGCCATTCCGGAGATCGACTTTAACAACTGTTTCGAGGGTTGGAAAAAACGTTGGCATAAGTGTATTGTGTCTGAGGGGGATTACTTTGAAGACGACGAAATAGATTTGGAATAATAAATAAAGATTAAAAAAAAATGTTTAATTGGTCTTACTTTTTGGACACATTAGTATAATCACGACAGTTGCAATTAAACGACACTAAGGAAGAGAGTAAGGACACAACAGAATTTCCATAAATGTTCTAGTTTTCCGACTTTTTTCATGTTTTTTTGCTGTAAAGATGTTTTTCAGACAAAACTATTTCTATTATCGAGATTATTATCGTTATCGTATTATCGAAACTATTATCGAGACACACTATTTACACGTAAAAATATCGTTCAATCAACATCCTTCAATTAACACATTGGACTTTGAGAGTGTTTTTCTAACAGTAGGTTGAGTGTTTTTCTAAAGTAGAAAACTTTGACTCTCTTCATTCTTCTTCTTCGTTCGGAAGCAGTGTCAATTAAAGAACATTGAACATTTCAAGAAGAGAAAAGATCTCCATGTACGTAACAAGAACTCTAATTAAGAACTCCTAATTCTTCTTCGACCAATTCCATCTTTCCTGCAAGTTCATGAAACTTCAGCCGTATTTCACTTCACTTGAGATCGCATACCGTGCGTTAATAATACGACCTCGACAGTCGCCTCTTGCTTGAGTTATCGTGTTCTCTAACGACTCTAAAAATAGAGGCGACAAAGCGGTGTGCGATCGAGATAGACGTGTCGCTCGTTTCCGCCGCCGGCGCAATTACGCGAGTCTTTCGCGTGCGCGCGACTTCCGCGCGCTTTCCTGCCTCACTTTCGGGACTCTCATGTGCTAGGAAAGTAGCTCACTCACCAGTCGGGGAATAGCACCAGCGCCTCGGCCAGGATGTCTCGTAGGAGAGTGGTCGCGGGTGGTACATGCGGCAGAATGACCGGCGCGAAGACGCCGCAGACACCGGCGCTGCGTCCGTGTCGCGCCTCGTACCTGCTCAGGTAGATCGCCAGGTAGCCGAGCAGACGGTAGTGGGAGGAGGGCAGGGTCGACAGCAGTTCTTTCGTCGAGGTGATCCAGGACTCGTGATTGTTCGCGTAATCCTCTGCATCAGATATATACCCTTCAGTTTGCTCGCATTCCGTTGGAAGCGTCGCGCAGGAGACAAATAAAAATTTACTGTTCGCTAGAGACCACAATTTTATAGCAATTGAGATGATTTTTTTTTAATTAAACGTTAATCAATGTAGAAAAAACTGTCGACTCCGATTTTTTAAACAATTTTTCTAAATGTTGCAGTATTAATAAAAATTAAGCTCGTATTCAACAACCTAAACCTAATATATTTTACAATGACACATTTTGTGCTACAGAAACATTTTTGTCATATCGGCTATAGAATTGATAGACAGATTGTTAAGTGCTAGATCTTAATACTGACTTTACATTTATGTTATGCGACTTTGTATATCCTATTGCAACATATATACTGTATCAAAATGATTTTGTATATGTTGACAGGAGATTAGTAGTTGTCAACTGCCAAATTCTGATTTTCATATCAGATTCGTAATCAGCAATGCTGAAAATCTTAGTACACTGTACTGTGCAGCAAAAAGATGGAAAGTTTTTCGATTGGAGTGGCTTACAAAACTTGATAATTTTTTACAAATTCTTATTAATATAGCAACATTTAGAAGAATTTTTAAAAAAATCGGGCTTGAAAGTTTTTTTCTACATTGATTAATGTTTAATTTGAAAAAAAAAATTGTGGTCTCTAGCAATTTTTGAACAGTAAATTTCTATTTGTCTCCACTGTGCGTCGAGAACGACGCGGGGAGAAGACGATTTCGTATTAATTGTTACATTCGTTATTAAAATTAGTAGGGGAGATCGGAGGTCCCACACGGAGAAAAATAATTTTGCTTTTTTAGCAAAATCGTCGTTGCTACTGATTTCGTTGGTACTATATTCGTAGTGACATACAAAAAATTAAGTTAACGTAACTAATTTTACAAATTATTCGTAATCAGAAGTAGTTTCGTTGCCAGGATAGAAAAAATTTGTTGAGTGTATTTGTCCTAAGAATCACGTTAATTTGCTATTGACGCAAAATATTGTATTCTTAGCAAATTTATTTGCTATCGAAGTAAAACTGCAACTGCTTATATAAATCCATCATGGTTCTTATAGTAAAATAATTTGTAGATTCAGCAAATTATATCCAGCAAATAGTGATTAGTATTCTTAACAAATTTTTTTGCTGTTCATATAATAACGAAAAAATTTTGTTAGCAGAAAATTTGCTGGGCCAGCAAATTATTTTTCTTCGGCATATGCTGCTTATGTACTTTTTTTTTAATATTTGTCTTAAGAAAAATAGTATACAAAATTGCGAAATAGTCCTTTTAGAATATAAATACTTTCCCTTGAGTTCGCGTCTGTGAAATGACTGATCTTTTGAGCCGACAAAACCAACTGGGATCGACTGAGATCCAATGATCTTTCCTAAATCTCTAATAAACTCTACACGGCAAAAAAAAATTTGCTAATATATGGACAACTAAAAATATTAACTGCAGGAACAAATTTTCTTGCTTTCATAGTAAAAGTTATTTAGTTGTGATAGTTAAAAGATTTGCTAATATATATTAGCATATCTTTTAGCCACTCCAATTGAAAAACTTTCCATCTTTTTGATGCACAGTACAGTGTACTAAGATTTTCAGCATTGCTGATTACGAATCTGATATGAAAATCAGAATTTGGTAGTTGACAAATCTACTAATCTCCTGTCAACATATACAAAATCATTACGTTTGGCACAGTATATATGTTGCAATAGGATATACAAAGTCGTATAACATAAATGTAAAGTCAGTATTTAGTCACAACTAAATAACTTTTACTGTGAAAGCAAGAAAATTTGCTTCTGCAGTTAGTATTTTTAGTTGTCCATATATTAGCAAATCTTTTTCTCCGTGTAAGCACAACAAGACAATATCTCGCAGAAGATGAGCATTGGCTAAACGCTTCCTCTCCACGCAGCACCTCGTTCATAAAGTCCCGTTAGGAAGATAAGGATCTATGCTTACGGGCGTGTACGCTAAGCAGTCTGCCGACTAGGGTGGACGGCACGACGGGTTGCGGCAGCTCCTTCAAGTACTGCCGGAGAAGGGTCGCCGCGGTCGGAGGGCACGCGGCGCCTTCGAGGTCGGCGTCGCCCCTCCGCTCGAAGGCGGCCCTGAGCCTCTCCGCCAGCCTGGGACTGCCGCCCGACAGCCGGAACACCGCCGCGCTCTGGAAGCCGTGGATCTCGATGTAGCTGCATAGCCGGTGCACCACGTACGGCACGCCCGTGTCGAGGTACGGCTCCACCAGCTCCAGCCGGGTGCCGAAGATCCTGCTGGACCCCGCGCCGCGGCCCAACAACGAACCCGCCAGGACGCGCTTCACGCGCGCGAGACGGGATTCGTCCTGCAAGGGACGCGATTCGTGTACATGTCCCGGTATCGTCGCTGAGACAGGGAAGTAAACTAACAAGTAAACCTATCCAAAAGGTACACTGCGATTTCTTTCTAATTTGGCACAAATTAGAAGTGCAAAAAATATTTAGGTCATATTCTTTCATTTTGGTCCACTTTGAGTTTCACGGGCAGTTTAATGTTTCTTTAGCTTTTTAATGTTCTCACTCCTATCATCAACAAGTATAACAAAAATGCATAAGAAATAAGATTGCATGCAAGATATAGTTAAATAATTTTAACAAATTCGGCATAGCTGAGACACGAACCATTCTAACTTTCTTTAGCCGAGATTCCAACAGAAATATAAATCTATGCCAAATTAGTCAAAAATGATTCGAATCTCAACTAAATTGAGAGAGAAATCCAGTAATTTTAATTAAAATTTTAACAAAATCGGCATAGCTGAGACACGAACCATTCTAACTTTCTTTAGCCGAGATTCCAACAGAAATATAAATCTATGCCAAATTAGTCAAAAATGATTCGAATCTCAACTAAATTGAGAGAGAAATCCAGTAATTTTAATTAAAATTTTAACAAAATCGGCATAGCTGAGACACGAACCATTCTAACTTTCTTTAGCCGAGATTCCAACGGAAATATTATAAATCTGTGCCAAATTAGTCAAAAATGGTTTGAATCTCAATTAAATTGAGAGAAATCCAGCAATTTTAATTAAAACTTTAACAAAATCGGCATAATTAGACACGAACTATTCTTTCTAAATTTCTTTAGCCGAGATTCCAACCGAAATATTTTAAATCTGTGCTAAATTAGTCAAAAATAGTTCCAATCTCGGCCAAACTGAGAAATCCAGCAATTTTAACTAAAATTTTAACAAAAACGGCACAGCTGAGACACGAATCATTCTAAATTTCTTTAGTCGAGATTTCAACCGAAATATTTCAAATCTGTGCTAAATTAGTCAAAAGTGATTTGAATCTCGGCCAAACTAAAAAATTATTTGTATAAATAATTGTTTTCAACTTTTCACACGTTTTATTTAAACATTTTATACAAATTTATATTTATACAAATAATTTATATTTATACAAATTTATATAAATTTATATTTATACAAATAATTTTACACATTCATATTCATAATCAGCAAACCAAAAATGCCTATATTCAATTTTATTTTTTATACATTTTTGTTGCATTTGTTGATGATAGGAGTAAGAACATTAAAAAGCTATAAATTGTCCATGAAGTTCAAAGTGGGCCAAAATGAAAAAATATGACCTAAATATTTTTTGTACTTCTATATTTGTGCCAAATTAGAAAGAAATCGGAGTGTATCTTTTGAGTAAATTTATTTGTAAGATGTGTAGAGTTCTGACACGCAAAAAATAAATTAGTTGAATTGACATGACACAACTGAACGCATTCTAGTCGAAGGAAACCGAATTTTCCTGGTTTCCAAGAACCGAATTTATATTATAATAAGAAATTCTGCTTCCAAAACACGTTTAGATGTGTCGCATTCAACCAAACTTCTTTCCTTGAGAATTTCCTTGAGAAGAAGTGGGACAGCTAATGTCATTAAGAAACCTTAAGAAATTAAAGCAGCATATCGTCCCTCGAAGATATGTAACGTCTAACGCGAAAATGTGTAGCACTAGTGGCTTGTTCGTTATAATAAAAATAATAAATCAATAAATGTCTTTATGTATGTCATAAAACTTTTTAAAATTATTTTCCCGCATTGATTGAAACAGCGGAGATATCCAAGGTGGTAAGAGTCGTTGGCTCATCCTGTATATAATAATACAGTGTAATTGACGATATTAACACACATTACCAGCATCACACGTACATGACGCATCTCACGAGAGACTGACGTCACATACGCATGATAGCAATAATTTCTCATCCTATCTCCACGCAAACAAATCGCCTTACGCTGTTACATAAAAAAATATAGAGTGGTCTCCGTAAGCAGGCGTGTTAATAATACACACTATATAAAATAGCAAAGCCTCGTAAAATACTTCGCGCGATCTGCGGGCGTTCTATTTATAGTACTTTATTTCCCGCGTAAATTATTTTTCCCCACGCGCATTCGTTTGTTTACCCTCCGGGGGTGCGGCGTGCACGCAACTCAATCTGTATACTTCCCGCCCGTCTTATCGGGGCGTGACTGATGTGTTTCCCGACATTTGCGCGACATTTATACGGGTTGTAAAACGGATCGGTCAAGAGTGGCGGTCATCGAGAAAGCGACGAAGCGGCCGCTAACAGCTGGGAAGGCAGTGAGTGCATCGACAAAGTGGAGTAACGAGTAGATATAGCCCTCGCGCATTCTCGCCCGACGATAGAGCGAGTTTCTACGCCCATATCTCGAGTGCGGAACGAGAGCTGCCGCGTGAAACTGCCTATCCGTTAAGATAGCAATACTAGCTGCTGCATTGTCGATAAGAGGGGCCCGCGCAACAATATCTTATCGCCACACAAGCATGGAAGTCCGAGCATGGAAGCGCGAGAAAACATCAGGGAAAAAAAAGCCCGTCCCAGTAATACATATATTATTACTCGACATTAATTATCTTTGCATGTACGATCCATATTAAATTTATCGCCAGAGTCACCTATAATTATTATGTGTGCTCGTGTTGAAAAATTAATTATAATTATATGAATATTATATACATAGTAGTTAATTATAATTATATCGTGTTAAAAAATTAATTATAATTATAGTTGTTATATATTCATATAATTATGATATATTCATAATTATAATTATGAAAATTATAATTATATGAAAAAGTCTCGATTATTTACTAAGAAATATGTAGGATCTATAAAAAATGGGGACCATACATGGAACAAAAGGTTTGGTTGAATTAACCAAATATCTGGTCGAATATGAACGATCCAGAAATTCTGATTGAAATAACCCAAATTCTGTTTAAGTTAACAAAACTTTAGTTGACTTAAACAGAATTCGGGTTACTTCAATCAGAATTTCTGGATCGTTCATATTCGACCAGAGATTTGGTTAATTCAACCAAACCTTTTTTCCGTGTAAGATTCAAATAAGATTTCAACATACTTAAAGAAAATAGGCAACTTTATATTGCATCCAAATGTTCTTTGAAACGTCCATTATAAGAAAAACACAAGTTTCATTATGAAAAAATGGTTAAGAGGGAAGGAATTATTGTTTTCTTGGAAACATTACTCTTAACCTCGCTTTCTACGCAGACCAAATGGGCTTCCTCATATCAAAAATTATTAAAAGCGACTTATTGAGACACGCAACATATAAGAACGCATATTATTGCACGTTTAATTGATTACAATTACTTATCAACAACGCTTTTCTCATAAAACAATAAAACTGCATATTTGCAAAAATAACTTATGATTAAAAATCGTATTGACGATGTAAAATCGTGCGCGATTCAAAATCGCATTTGCGACATAAAATCGCGCGCGATTTGAAGTCATATTTGCGATAATTGTGACGCAACGTATCGCATTCGTTGCACGGAAAAAAAGGTTTGGTTGAATTAACCAAATATCTGGTCGAATATGAACGATCCAGATATTCCGATTGAAGTAACCCGAATTCTGTTTAAGTTAACAAGATTTTTGGTTGACTTAAACAGAATTCGGGTTACTTCAATTGGAATTTTTGGATCGTTCATATTCGACCAAATATTTGGTTAATTCAACCAAACATTTTTTTCCGTGTGTGATTCTTGAAAAAGGATCACATAATTTCATAAGTCGCACATCCCTTCACTTAAGTGCCGGAAAGATTACCTTATCATGTGTTTGACGAGAGCGCGTGGGGCTTGCTGAGGATCCATGATGATGGTGGATATGGTGGTGGTGGTGATGATGAAGATGTTCTTGCTGGGGGCGTCTCATCCCACTTTGTCTGCACCGCGACCCGCCGCCGCACTGGCAAAAGAGCGACGAGCAAACTTGTAATTTGCACGATATTTGCGACCATTGAATGAAGAATACCAGGAAGGAGCATGTTGCGATATATCGTGGGTAATCGATTATGGATGCATTCCGATATTAACTTTCAGTACTTGAAGTGCTGTAGGTGCCGTTCCAAAATACGCTGCAGTAAACTTTCGACGAGCTCGTGAGAGCATGTGACGTCATAGATTTTGTTGTCACATCCTGCGATTGGCGATATAAAGGTCGTTCTACATTAGTTGCAAGCCGATCGCAAGCAGACGCAATTCTTATTGCGTCAGCCAATTAGAAGCATCAATGGTGCTATTGACGCTTCTGATTGGCTGTCGCAACAAGAGTTGCAATCGACTTGCAACTAATGTAGAACGATCTTGAGGCATTCGTAGTAGCAATGCTGCGATTGTCGTTCCGTTATAAGAAGGAAAAAGCAATAGAAGTAATTTCGGAACGCATCGCCAGTATACTGCTGTATGACGTCACGTTTTCAGGACTGAAAGTTAATATCGGAATGCACCCTATGTTGCATTGGTTCAGTTTGATGACGTAATAACTACGTCATAATTGACGTTACCGGAAACACAATCAGGCGGTATACTTTAAACATTTTGGAAGTATATAGCAAAGGAATATTAATTCTAAAAGAATAACAGAAAAATTGTATCTATATTTTACTAATATTGGTGAGGGAAATAAAATTAGTCACCTGTAATAATTTTCTCTTCAATACGTTTGTCGCACCTATGTCTATTCGATTAATTGATGTTACGTCATAACATTTATTTAAATTCCATAGTATCGATAGTCGCATTTGGCTCATTTTCATTGCGTCACATCCTTCGCACTCCTACCAAAGGATTTTCTCTTTATACGCCTTCCTGGTATTCTTTATTCTATGTTTGCGACGTACTCGAGAGTTCGTTATTCGATGACATTTTCGTTTTTCGCGGTAAAAATCCGGAAAGGCGGACAATCGAGACCTACGGACTTGCCGCGAGAGAATCGAGAAAATTGTGAAACAATTGCTTCATAAGAAAAAAAAAAGGAAGCGGAGGAAGGGGACCTCTTTCTTTTTTGGAAAATCCGCGCGGGTCGGGGAAGATTCGCTGAGCAATACAATTCTCGCGGAAACTCATCCCCGACATCTGACCGTTTCTTGATGTGGAGAGTGTAGTTAACGTCGCTCGCGGAATATATTAACCGCGAGCGCTTTTTCGGAAGGTCGAGAGGTCGGGAACGGATTTCCTCTCCCGGGGAATTGGACACTTCGGGTCCATTCACTCCGACGCGGCCATTTGCACGGTCATGCTGAGAAGAACGGCACGCGTCAACGCGCCCGATGCATTGAATAAAGAATACCAGGTAGGAGCATGTTGCGATATATCGTGGATAATCGATTGTGTTGCATTGGTTCAATTTAATGACGTAAACTACGTCATAAGTGACGTTACCGGAAACACAGTCTGGCGGTATACTTTAAACATCTTGGAAGTACCAAGGTGATTGATGTCTTTAGATTGGCACATTAGTGATGTTGCCACCTCTAATGCGCCGTGAATTTCCAGTAGTGCCAACCTTAAAATCTCTCACTACACAGTTGCAGACAGCTATGACAATCAGTATATTTGTGATAGCCACCGAAAGCACATAACCTCTGATATTTTGTAAAAATGGAAAACTGAATTCGTGCAGTGATTAAATATTTTTATTTGAAAGGCTTGCAACCGCAAAAAATGATTGAGGACTTCCAAAAAATTTTGGGGAAGTCTGCTCCGTCGAATGCAACCATATACAAGGTGGGCCAAAAATCTGGATACACCCAAATATATCATAAACGATGCATTTTAGAAAAAAAAATATTTCAGACAAAAGTTGTAAAGCTTAAAAAAACGCATTCAACGATAGTAGTTATTTGACATAGGATGGCGTCGCCAAAGTCAGAACAAGGTCAACTTTGCTTTTTTAAATAGAAACACATATTTTTTTATTACGGCATTTTATTCTACGTAAAAAAGCAAACAACTTTTGCTTGAAAAAATTTTTTATACGACCCCTACTTTCTAAGATATTTACGTAAATATCTACAAAATTATTGGTTTCAATAATTCTTTACTTGAATTCTATCAACTTTACCGAAAAATACCAAGAGATAAAAATTGCTTATTTTGTTTTCATAAAGTTCTGAGAATTTTTTCAGAATTTTGTGTTAACATTTTAGTACTTCAAGAAAATGCAAGAAATGCAGTACTAAAAGTTAATATAAAATTCTGAAAAAATTCTCAGAGCTCTATGAGAACAAAATAAATAATTTTTATCTCTTGGTATTTTTCGGTAAAGTTGATAGAATTCAAGTAAAAAATTATTGAAACCAATAATTTTATAGATATTTACGTAAATATCTTAGAAAATAGAGATCGTATAAAAATTTTTTTCAAGCAAAAGTTATTTGTCTCTTTACATTGAATAAAATACTATAATAAAAAATACATGTTTCTCTTTAAAAAAGCAAAGTTAACCTTGTCCTGACCTTGGCGACGCCATCCTAGGTCAAATAACTATTGTCGTTGAATGCGACTTTTTAAACCTTATAATTTTTATCCGAAACATTTTTTTCTAAAATACATCGTTTATGATATTTTTTGGTGTATCTAGACTTATGTTTTTTTCATTTTCATTTTAAAGACTTATCAATCAATCTAGTATACAGCAAACGAATATTAATTTTAAAAGAATACTAGAAAAATTGTACTTATATTTTGCTCATATTGATGAGGAAAATAAAATTAGTCACTTGTAATAATTTTCTCTTCAATACATTTACGCACCTTTGTCTACTTGATTAATTGACAATATTACGTCATAACATTTACTTCGATTCCATAATATCGGTAATCGCATTTGGTTCACTTTCATTATGTCACATCCTTCGCACTTCTAACAAAAGATTTTTTCTTTATGCTCCTTCCTGGTATTCTTTATTCAATGGTCCGATGACACCCCGGCCGAACACAATCGCGGAGCAATTTCAATATTTTCGCGAGAGCGCGATCGATCGGGCGGAACGCGCGTCTCACAACACGGGAAAAGCTCCGTTCAACTGTCATCAATGTCGTCGTCCTCGCTCCGCGCCGCCACTATTCTTCATCACGGTGTAAACAAAGGAAAGTGTATTGATACAAAAGTTTCGCGCCGCTCCGTGCCTTGCCGTAGCAGACACGCGTCATCAATCGATACGCCGGCGAATTGCTTCACAGATGTTTTCGTCTCGAAAACAAACAAAATCTACCCTGCGTTCCTTGTTACAAAGTTATATATTTATTTATTTACTAACGGGTAGAAAGTCTTCTTTTAGAAAGGCGAGAAAGATACATGATGTAATTATAAATATTATAAATATACAAAAATAAATTATAAAAACAACAATATATATTATTATTTTTATAATTTACAAATTGTATATTTTATAAATTATATATATATAATTTAAAAAATAATAAATATATCAAAGTAATAAATTGTGAATATTACGAAAAGATTTAATAAAATATTTAAACGCTTTTCCTGAAAAATCGTGTTTGGCACTTAATTTATAATAAAGACCGTAGGTCACGCTTTTTATTTGTATGGAGCGTGTTTGATAAATAGAGAATGTTACTTATTACAGACTTTTTATAATAGAATTATAGATTAATAGATAGATAAATCTTTAGATTAAATAGAACTATGTGTAGCCGAGGAATACATCGACATTCTGCAGCGATAGACTATCCTCTCGCATTTCATGCACGTGCCGTTTATATTCTGGGAACTGAAATTTGGTATTAAAAAGATTTGCTATGTTTTCAATGAAATTTGCCGATACTTTATTCCTCATTTATTTATATTTCTCGGCAAAAAATAGACCTTACTGAGAGTCCATTCCCGTACACTGAGAGAAAAAAATAATTGGAATAACTACAATCTCACTATATTTTATAGTTCATTTTGGCCACAAACATATATTTATAGTTCATCTAAACAATGAAGATATAGCAGAATGAACAAAGATTTATAGTCACCATTTTATTACTCTATGTGTATAGTAAAGCACACTTTAGGAATATAGTTACATGTACCTACATTTGCCAAATATTCCAATTGTATTGACTATATAAAATAGTTAATTTCTCTTACCATTCAATATTTGCTACCTTACTATATTTTTTTATTTCAAATAATTATAATTCTTGGTAAAATTTTTACATGGGTCAGTTATACTATGCTTATATTATAAATATTGCAAACATTATGGTGACATTTAGTATAAAAATGATATTCCTAACTATAATCTTTTTACTATGCCGTTATAGTTCCGAATATCATAAATTTTTTTTTCTCAGTGTACTGCTAGAAACGTGTAGCGAAAGATGAAAAGAATTCCTATGAAAAAAGATATACATCCCTCCGGGTGTTTTTATTTTTTTTTTAAAGGTCACTTTGACACATTTGCGAACTAACGTGTCGGCACGTATGTGTATATTCCACTCTTTAGAAATGATACTTCTAAACTTCTCGTCGGGAGTTACTTTCCATCCAGCCGCTCCCGCCCGACCTGATTTGTCCTCCGCATTATTGTGACTACAAGTTAAACGCGATAAAACGGGCGGAACGAGGTCGCGCGAACATGCGAATTTTATTTTGCAAGATCCGCGGAAAATTGCTCGTCCGGGGCGGGGTGGGGGGGGGGGGGG